AAGTTTTATTCCAGGCTGACGCGTCTGTAGTTAGGGGTCGGGGGATTTGCTTTTTTGGCGATTAGTGCCTGTGCCTTTCTTCTGATAGGAAGTCCTGGGAAGTCGTTCAGTGTCATCGCTGGTTTCGGTTGTGCAGTTGTAACGTTGGATGCTCCTTGAAGGTGTCTTTGCTTCCGTATTTCCTGTAGTTCCTTGTGGGTAGCACATCCCTTGTAGTTCGCAGGATGAAACCCTCCGCAGAGAGCATGTTCGCCGGCATGCTTATTGGCCTTGGACACTGGGCGGATTGATGTGGACCCCCGCACCTCACGCATCTGGGCGGATGATTGCAGTATGTCCGTATGTGACCGTAGTCTTGACATCTAGTGCACTGTACAATATTGGTGCGTCTTCGAGGTTCCTCGGCGTTTATCTTCGTGTACAGCAAATATTGTTCCTTGAGTATGTTTTCGGAATTGTTATTTTTCTCAAGATCAACAAAAAATAAGGGAAGTGCTGTTTTCGTCACGGGATGAAGAACTTGGTGCACTCTTACGACTTGATAGTGTTTTTTCTGGAATTATTTTTTTATCTCGTCGTTGGACGTGGTTTGATGAAGACCTCTTATCACCACGCGAAAACATTTATCCTCTTTCAGCTGGTAGCTGGTAGCATGGTAGTCATAATCGTTTGCCGCCAGGCTTTCCGGTACGTATCGCTTTCGTTGGTATTCAATAAAAGGTCATTTACACGGGAGCGACAATAAAATTTTTCGCTGCCTAATAGGCTTTGCAAATGTTTACAGAATGTTAAAAAATTCGTAATGTTTTTCACCATTATTGGTGGAGGTTTAGGTTGGCTAGTTTTATCTATAGGCTTGACTAGCGATGATGTTGGACCGGTGCAAACGTTATCGTTATTGTTTCCTCCCTTGGGCAGTTCACTTTTTGGGGAGGATGGGTCACTCGTGCTTTTTTTATGCTGCCTTTTCCTCCTGCCTCTCTTGATGCTGACTGAGGATGAGTCGGATTCCAGCACGGTGAATTGCGCCTTGTCCATTACGGGCGGAAGATCTTCTTGAGAGTGAATGGTATCGCTGTTTTCATTCATGTTATCGCCAGCCAACAACACGACGAAGTATTACTCTTCCTGCTAAATGAATTAATATTACCTATGTTTACTAACACGCAGATAATCCGATGTCCCCACCGCTATTGTCGCAGGCGACTCGGCTCGTTCTTGCACCTTCACGTCCGGAAATTATTTCTCGTATTTGCCGTTACGAAAATGTTCTAAACGAAACACAAAGCCCGTCAAAATTGAGCAGGTAGCTCCTAGTTTGCACTTTACGCAAAGCAGCGCAAAACTGGCAGCGGTACTCGAAAGAAAATTCTATTTTGTAGAGAGCACAATTCTATGATGTTTCCACTACAGCGACATCCATAGAACTATTTGAATTCTAAAGCAATAAACTGTTTAGTTTTTGACCAGTATCGACCAGAACACACAGCCATTGGTCTTTGGAAAATTTGTTTGCTTACTTATTACAGATGAGTGTAGATTTGCTCTAAGATCCCCAGATTGGCGTGAATGAGTATGGAGAAGGCGAAATGAAAGGTACTAAGCTTGTACATTTCCCAGAGTCAACCTTTTCTATGTTGCTCAGTGATGGTGTGGGCGGGAAATTTAATGGAGAGTTACATAGTGTTTGTTGTTGTTGGTGGAGGGTCTTTGACGGATGTGGATAAAATATGGGACTTCAAGACTTGAGCACCATCGAACTTTTATGGGATAACCTGAAAAGACGAATAAGTCCATCGCTTCGTGCTGCATTCCACGATCTTGAAAGGACTCTTCGTGAAGAATGGGCTACTGTCCAGCAAACGGACATTTCCAGACTGGTAGAAAGTAAGCCGAGGCGTCTTCAAGTTGTAAGTAAAGCAAGAGGAGGGAGGAAATTTGGGATATTGAAATGTCAATTAAAAATCTAAAACAAATTTTATCAAGCCGTCTTTTTTTATTTTTCATTTTCCTAATGAATTTACTTTTTTTTTTACTTTTTTAGAAAAAGACTCAATTATTAAACATTAAAAAACGTGACACTATGATTAATATATACTATTACATACAAATCAAGCTATATTACAATTGGCTGGAATATTTTGCCTGTCAGTGTATATAAACGCATTTCAAGCATATCATTATTGCTCAAGAGGAGTCGGGTAAATAAAAAAATTATTTTCATACTAATAAGGACTGCATTTTTATTCTTAATTTATCTCAGTATTTTTGTTTGTTTCGCTTTTCTCTTATCACTGACCAATTAGCTATATTTTTTTAATTACTTGGTTCTTTCTACATAGGAGTCAACGTCGGTTTAACTTGGAAAATTTAATTTACCACGGATGTAAAGAATAATGTTAATTTTATTGCACTGAACCATTTCATGTTTAATCTTTTTCAATTAATTATTTTTTAACCATAAACATTACTTAACTTTCAGTTAAATTTATCACTGAAAAACCATCAGTTCTTGTTTTGTTGCGTTTTAATTTTGTATTAAAGTCTCGAATAATTGTATATAATTTTGATTTATTTCAACTTTTGCAACATTTTGGACGAGGCAAGTCCATTCAGTAAATCATTGTTTCCAATTTATAAAAATTCATTATTGTTAATAGCATGACCTTATTAAATATTTTACAATAATAACAATATCTAACCCTCTAGCATAACTCTAACCCTACCACTATCTAGCTAAGTTCGTCCTAACAGTTACCCTAATGTAGCATTACCCGAACTTTAACCCTAACGCAGCTTAACTTAACCTTTCTTAATTCAACCCATCATTAACTCTATACAAAAAATCAGAGACAAAGCCAATTTAAAAGAAAGGGAGAATCAGTTCCTTTGTTAGGTTTTTGAGGACTAAATCCCCTCCACAGCCGAATGATATAAATGTCTATATTTGTTAACCTTGAAAATTCTAAGTTTATTACAAATTGGTGAAAAAAACACAAACATCACAATAATATTTATCTTGATTTGTTTGACATCATCGTTATTGTTATAATTATATATTTTACAAAATATAATACAATTTTATATAACGTATATAATCCTCCAGTGTTTGATAAAGGAACTGTGTGTTTTTCTTTCTTTCAAACTTATCTTTTGATCTCTGATTTTTTATTATTATTTTGATTCTGATTTTTATAAATTATAATATTAATACAGATATCAATTACATCAAGAACATTCTAACCTTAACTCAACACTAACCCAACCCAATTCCAAACAACTCTAATATTACAAACCCAACACTAAACTACACTAACTTAACCTAACCCAGCATTACCTAACTTGACCCGACCCCGCCTAAGCCAAAGCAGCCCAACATCACAATCCATTCCGCTCAAATGAAGCAAAAATAGTCACGCGAAAAATTTTTTTATCTAGCTCAAAAACATATATCGATTTATTATTCGTGTGAATATTTAATTTAATCAATCGCTAAGTCCGTATTAAAGGGAAAATTCTCTAATCATGGCCCCTTTATTATGCACTTGGCCCAATTTTGTTACTAGATTAAAGTAACTAAATAAACGACAGGTAAATATTAGAAATGTAAATAAATGAAAAGTGTAAACATTATATTTTAGCCAAAACATTTGTATAATAACTAAAAGAATATATTTTTTACCTTCGTATTTTATTTTCAGACGATTTATGATATCATCACAGAACGATTACAATCAACTAGGAAATAAATTAATTACAATATCATACTACCTGCTGATTATTTTTAGTGATTTATGAGAAGACTGCTTAGATAAAATCGGCCATTTCTCTAGACAGAGTCCAAGATATTTATCTTTGCACAGCATAGCTTATTATATAACAAAATTCAAAGTCACGTACCTTTTATTTTATTCGAATTTAATGTTCACCTCAAGAAATCAATAAAGATAATGATCCGATCTAAAATTTAATTAAAATTGTAACATTATAATAATTATTTTTAACCCTAGTTGTATGACATATTTAATTTATATCACTATCAATAGATGGTTCATTACTAAAAATATATTTTATTTTTATTTTAATTCATAAATAGCAAGATTTATTAATAACAAAAAAAACGAAAAATACCGACTTAAATGAACCTTACAAATTAACGAATGTCGCCAGGATGAATGAATTTTTTGAGGTAGAAAGAATCTAACTTATCACACTTTGCGTAAAATTCACATTGGATAAATTATAATTGGAAAGCCGAAGTATTCATCATTTTATTATCGTCTCAGGGCTATAATTAATTTAAAATTACCAATTTCTAAGCATTCTTCCGAATTGGAAACACTTCGGTTTTAGATTCCAAAGGGCCTGTTCTCTTTCCTTTAAAAAAATAAAAATAAAATAAATAAATAAATTTAAAAAAACAGGTTTCTATTATGTATGTTGCTATGTTATGACGCTGAGTCTAAATATAGATATATGAATTTTAGTTCAGTGGAAAGTTTGTCAATTTGCTGAACTTTTCAGTCAACGAGAACAACAATAAGCATTACAATTTAACAACTGCATTTGTTGACAATTTACATTTAATATTTTATGTACACACAAATAATGATAGAACTATGATAAATACGACAAATTACTAATTATTCCTTAACTTGGAACATATCAGTATATGCTTAATTTTACGAAAGGTTGACTACAATTCAGGGATGAATGACATGATTGTTTACACTAATTAATATCTATTGTTGTTTTATTAAAACAATTAGTTAAGTAGAACTTCGCTCGCCTTTCTTTTCGGTATTATCGCAAAATATAGTGCCAGATAAAAGCTTATTTTCGTTGAACAAAACTAATCTAATTTGCATATCGCCGTTAAAGTAAATGTTCCATGCAGAACTACGAGCGCTACTCTCTTCGTTCATTTCGCTTTGTTAATCAATTTGTCAGTATTTTCTAATTAGGGAATCATTTTTAAATATACACGTCTTTTGTTTCAGATGAGGAAAATGATCTCTTACTGAACTCATCGTCCCTCTGGGACATACTGAAACCTCAGAACAACCCCTACCTCCAAGAACTGAGTGGACACTGGACGTTCAACGACACGATAGACATCAGTAAATACGAAGAGTTCGATCATACTAGATTTGAAAGTGAGTAATTTACTACATTATCAATTATTTTACTGTTTGAACGAAAAACAACGATTATTGCACAACATTGCGTAATCCTATATTTTGCACTAAACAAGTTATAATGCGGAAAATAACGAAAGTTCACTTAATCAAGTGTTAAGTTCAATTAAGAATATCTTAATCTATCTCACACACCTACTAAACCTATTCAAAAACAGGCCCGAGGTAGTAAATGTGTTCGCTCACTTCGCTATTAGTGAAATCTGGAACGGATTTTGCAGTAAGAGTAAAATTTTCATATCTGTATGCAAGGTTTAGTAATATTTTTGATAAAAACAACAACTAAACTTCTAAAAAGGTTAAACTTGTTGGCCTCCATTTGATCTCTCATCAGAAGAAAAAGTTAATGATATTCCCTAATTTTTCTTTCTTCCAAATATCTGTAGATCACTAAGAGCGAACAGGAGATACATCCTGTTGGATGAGCAATGGTGGATTTTACGTGCTCTCTACTATTTAACCTTTCTTCACGTGGCTACATGGTTTCAATTCGTTGACGTAATACATTACTTTTACACATTCATCCTATTATAAAAATTAACCTTATCTAAAGTTGATGGGGCTCAGGCTACTTGAAATACGTCCAGAGTGGCCGACAGGGTGTTCTTAACTAAAATGCCCTACCATTATTCACGCTAATAAATACATACAAGAGTTTTATTGTTTTTCAATGTTTCATACGACTATCACATGACGCGCATTCGCAATACATACTATCGGGTTGTCCGGAAAATAATGCAGGATTTTAAGTTTTCATTAAAAAAAATCTATATAAAATATTCTGTTTACGTTTACAGGATTACTCATTTGTATGAATTAATCCTCTTCCAAATGATATTGTTTGTTTACCTCTGTAGCATTCCGCTACTTGGAAATAATTCAGTCATCCTTATAATGTCAAAGCGAGAATTTCGTACGATTTTCTTTTACGAGTTTAAACTCGGCCGAAGCGGAGCCCAAACGGCTAGAAACATTAACCAAGTCTGGGGCGAGGGTTGTGTTAATGAGTGCACTGTGCAAAGGTGGTTTAAAAAATTTCGGGAGGGAGATTTCAGCCTTGAAGATGAAGAAGGTCGTGGAAGGCCTTCCTCTCTTAATGATGATGTTCTGCGATCAGTGGTGGAAGAAAACCCCAAAACAACTGTTCGAGAACTTGCAGAGCAACTCAAAGTCAGTAAAACGACCGTCGCTGACCACCTCAAGGCGATTGGAAAAGTGAAAAAACTCGAAAATTGGGTTCCACACTCATTAAACGATCGCCAAAAAAATCAGCGCTTTGATGTTTGTGCATCACTTCTTTGTCGAAACAAAAATGACCCATTTCTGGCCAGAATTGTTACATGTGACGAAAAGTGGATTCTCTACGATAACACTAGACGTTCTGGACAGTGGCTCGACAAAGGAGAAGCTCCAAAGCCCCCAACTCATCAAAAAAAGGTAATGGTTACGGTATGGTGGGCTTCATTTGGTTTAATACACTACAGCTTCTTAAATCCTGGCGAAACCATCAATGCTGAATCATACTGTAACCAAATTAATACCATGCATCAGAAATTGGCAGTAATGAAGCCCTCTTTGGTCAATCGGAAAGGGCCCATTTTGTTGCATGACAACGCTCGACCACATGTGTCACGTGTAACGTCACAAAAATTATTGGAGCTTGGCCATGAAACTTTGCCTCACCCACCCTACTCTCCGGACCTCTCGCCTACTGACTACCATTTTTTTAGACACCTGGACCACTACTTACAACACATAATATTCAAAAATCAAACGGAACTGGAAAATGCATTTATTGACTTTATCAATTCTAAAAATTCTGAATTCTACTCAGACGGAATTAATAAGTTACCAACACGTTGGGAGAAATGTATTGAGAGTATGGGAAATTATTTTGATTAAAGAACATTGCTTTAAAGTAACTAGTTTCTTTTTTTTTTGTTTAATACCAAAATCCTGCATTATTTTCCGGACAACCCAATATTTAGCCTAACTGAATGACCAGGTCTGTATTTCTATTGCACAACAGATTCATCACACACACGTATAAATACATTCAAATGAGGGTAGTCACCTGGGGGATATTACGGCAGTACCCACCTCTTACAGTCATGCTACAAATACAACCTTGAATAGTTTTTTAGGGTCTGGAGGTAGTCGATTATTCCATAAACCAGGCTATCTAAATCATTCTCACTAATAAATACGTTCATACTTCAATAATAGCGACGTATAAAGAAGTTATCTATAGGGGACAATATACATATTGTATTAAATTCAAAAAATCAATGGATCATTTCTAATTACGAACACATCATATTATAAACTTTTTTCTTCATATAATTTTTACTTTTTTAGCGTAACTTTTGGCCTTTTTGCCTTCGAATAAATATAAATCACTAAATTAATTATCTGCTGCAAGGTCTGTGCCAGTTTTGACAATTGCTGCAACCTTGTTGGATGGATTCTGGCTCATTCCCAGCATACATTTCAAGGTTTGAAGTACAAAACAATCTACTAATGTGAAACATTTCATTCCATATTTCGCTGGCTTAGATGGTACTTATTATCTAAAAGCACATCGTCTCTAACAGTCTAGTTTTACATCGTTTGTCACATTTCCGCCGAGACACACATTTACTTGCGCAATGGATTTTTCAAAATTTTCTGGCTTGAACAAGCCCATCAATTTTTTGAGGCTTTACACCTTTCAGCTTATCTTATCTGTACAAACGTTAACCTAAATTGTTTGCTTTTTGTTATTATGTGCTTTTTTTACTACTACTCTTGTAAGATACTCTGTTGGAGTTCTAAATAAATAAAACTGAAAGACTTGGTCAGTCGGAATCTTTCAATTCCATCTCCGGTCTTCCAAAGATATTCCGAATTTATGCGAACACCCTTATAAACCCCCGCTACGAAGGTAATACCAATAACGCTTTTATTTCGATTACATTCGTAGAATGTTCCAAAAATTATTGGAGGTTAAAGCTGTAATCAGGTTCTTATTTTTTTATCGCAAAAAATCAATTATTTTCATAGTTTAAGTAGTGATTTCCTTTCATTTTTTTATCTACCACCAGAAATAATCCTATAAAAAAAAGAAAAGTCTTTCTATAAATTAAAATATAAACAGTAAAACATTCATGGAAATTTCTTTTTGTAAAACAACACATTTGCTACAAGCAGTTTTCCCGATTTGTATTAAGGAATTTTATTTTTAACCTTTATTTTTAAACTTTCAATTCCTGAACGATCATTTTCTAAATTAATAAAATCGTACATATTATGATCTGACAACACACGTTTCAGACAGTTTTCTGTTCCAATCTAGCGCTAATATAAACCAAAAGCAATTATTCTTCGAAAATCCATTTTCGAACCACATCGTTCAGAACAAATATATAATAATAATATAGTAATAATAATAATAATAAGTAATACAGTAAATAATATATTCCAAACATATTAGCATGGAAAAGGTACATACTAAATGTGTGGTGATTAGTGACCGTTAGTCGATAATTATTCAGAAATCGTGAGATGCGGTCTGGTGTGATGTAGGTTTCAGAAAAAACATTTTCTTTATCGTGCCACCATTTCGATCTTTATTGAGATCATCTTCAGGGCTCAATAAAGATCGAAATGTTGACATGAAAAAGAAAATGTTTTTCTGAAACCTACATCACACCAGTACATACTAAACAAAAATCTAATTATTGTAAATAAAGTGTATATTGTTTTTTGTACAGGTAAATGAATTAGATTGATTGATTTTCATAACTTAACTCCGAACATATATACAGATATCTATATACAGATCTGTATACAGCTATCTACGTACCAACCTGAACTTGCGACTTATATTTTCATGATGTGATCCAAATTAAAAATGTTTAAAATAGTGAAAATTTATGGTAATCATATACCTTTCTTTCTAAAAAAAAGATAGTCAGTAATTACTATTATAGGCGCTAGTATAATTATAACTTAGCATTGTTGTAGCTACAATATTATATACAATACTGTAGACAGAATATTTACTTTATGGATTCACTTGGGGAAAATTGTTTCTCAATTGAGATATTTTCCTGCTGGTCATCCATCGTGTTGAAACATCATCATTCTCTCCCTTTCAATAAAAGATGCTTACAGAAGCTCGGTGGTTTTCCAAAGAAAGTACAGCATCCTATCCCTTTTGAGTTTTTTATTGTAAATGTATGGACAGATCAATTGTCTAAGGATCGTTTTGAACCAAACAATATTATTACGATTTGTCTAAACTCCTAATAAATAAGCAAGTTTTTATCATAATAACAAACAGACAAATAAAGTTCGTTTATATATTTAAAAACAAAACAAAACCAGGGAAAAGGCAAATACAAAAGAAGAAAAACACTCAGTTCCTTCCTCCGTCAAGATTTCAAGGAATAGGTCCTCTTTATAAGGACTTGGAAACTATTTCTAATGATTTAAATATTTACCAAATATAAACATTTATTTACAATCCTCGAGACAATAATAAATTTAAAAGTTTTATTAGTTTGAAAAGTGGACGAGATCTTTCACCGGTCTATTACACATTACGATTTTCTTCCCTGATCTTTTTTATATATAATTAAAATATTCAAGCAGATATCAATCACATCACGACTTATGCTTATTAAACTTTTTGAAACTAGGCCTTTATTATTCTGATATATAAATTACGTTCAAATGCATATAAAATTCAAATACATATTTGCACATAAGGTAAAAGAGGAAATGAAATTATTATAATACAAATAATACATCTATACAATTTTTACTATTTCTTATAAAGTCCTTCGGATATATCGCTGTATGAAGCTTCCTTAGCATGAAATGAACTTAATATTTGATAAAGTTAACAATTCAATTTAACATTATATAATTAAGTAAAAGTTTTAGGGCACTTTCAACACGACACACAAAAATGG